GGTCTCCTTATTTGGGCAAAGAAACCAGTTCAGACCGGTTCTGTGTCCTGTCTCTATCTCCAAGTGTAACAGTCGGTACCATTCAGTGTTGTTCACATCATCCTGTTATGTAAACTATCAGCATGCACACCTGTCTTCAGCACTTTCCCCTTTAGTACAATAACAGCATTCAATAACAGTATAAATTGATATGGAAACTTTAACATAATTAATATATTGTAAAGATTGAATAAATTTATTTACAACATCTTAACACAGGGGCAATAAGCCCTCGACAACATAGCTCCTAGGTTCATTCGGATACTACACGTTAAGGTTGCGTTAAGAGTCTGATGGGTCGTTGTGGTCCTCATCAGAACGGTTTCGGTCACCTGCCTCTTTGTTATGTGAAACTGAGGAGAATATTTTGGGTATTGTTCCTAAGAGAGCCTTGTATGTGGGTGATAGGATGTGGTTGTTGAGTGATGGTTTTTCCAGGTTGACAAAAATGGCTTCTTTTACCCCTCTCTCAAACCATCTGTCTTCCCTGGCCAAAATGTGAACATTGTTGTCCTCAAAGGAGTTGGCCCTCCTATGTTGGGCCACGTGCCTGTGTAGCAGGTTTGAAGTGTACGGGGATCTGTTGTTGGTTAAAGATCCTCCTAAGTTTTTTTGGAAACTTCTAAATTGTATGGAATGACGACATTCCCCCTCCTGTTGTCCTCCCTCTTTGTGTGCATCTTTTTGTTACACATAACAAAGAGGCAGGTGACCGAAACCTTTCTGATGAGGACCACAACAACCCATCAGAATCTTAACGACTGTTTACACTTTCCCAGTTGACCCCAAGGCCCCCCCCAACGGGGGGGAGCTGAAGTAGCTTTATTCTTTCACACCTAGAGTGTTTATTTACTGTACTCCCCACCACCAGTTAGAACTGAAGAAGCCTCTTAGATGAGAGGTGAAACGTCTTCTTTTAGAACATTCACGTCCAGTTGCCTAACAGAACTCTTCAACCTTGGCCATGAGCTGGATGACTGAGAATCTTCATAGACTCTAGTATAGTTATGTTTACTGGATAGGTAAAATGCAGTGGTCAAATTCAATAATTCATTTTGTCCTGCCATTTGGACTGGATTTTACATTTTAGCCTCTTCAGTGATTGAGTTTAACATCTTTGGCCTAAAACAATCTTGGCTTTTTTAAGTATAAACTCAGCTCTGTGTCCTGTAAATTACATTTTTGTCACCTTGTAACAGGCATAGCCATTAGTTTTATTATGTTATGTTTATTTATTCCTTCATTTCCATATCCAGCATCTAGTCCCTCCATAACAGAAGCAGAAAGCAGTCCTGGGTACAACCAGTCAACTGAGAACTCGTCTCTTCCCCTTCACCACCATAAAGAAGAGCCTCTGCCGCCCACCGCCATTGCATCCAGCCCTTCATCAGTGCGTAGCCCTCTCCTCCGTCAGAGGAGGGTGATGTGCTTCGACGAGCTGATTGATAACCATGAGTCGGAAATGACTGGAAATACAGACACGAGTAAAATCTGTCACTATTGAAGCGAGTGAAGCTCAAACAGACCACATCTCCAAAGCGGATCACACAGTTGGAGTTCCTACCTCGACTACGTCATCTTTAGACGTCGATGGAGACAGCGAGGATGGTAGAGATCTGCAGAGGTGTGAAAGCAATAAGGCCTCTTCGCTGCTCAGTGACCGTCCCTCAAGGCGGGCAGATGGTGGAAGCACTAAATCACCTGGTTCTGAGTCGCCCTTCATGCCTATTTGCTGCCCATTTGAAGAAAAAGCAAGAGTGGTTATCATTGCATGCCCTGTGTTCACCAACCTGACCATCTGTAACAACAGCCAAACCAACCAAGAGGACGCACAGGTGGAATCAAAGCGCTCTCCCAAACTGGAGCATAAAGCAGTGACACGGGTGAAGAGTATGATGAGCATTGAAGCACCAAACTTCTGCCTGCAGCAGAAGTCCAAAAGTGAGGAGCCTGCTCTGTCTCAGGATCCAGTGTCTTCCACTCAGTCTGGAAGGAAGCCAACGGTCAGTGGTTTGACACCTCATCAACACTGCAAGAAGGGAGACATAAGTGAGACTGTGACCATGATAAGAAGCACAGATAAGTCCTTTGGGCTTGACCTGGAGATCCTATCGTTCCCCATGAAAGTTATCATCACCGGTTTAACCCTGGAGGTGCAGCAGAACGAGTATGTGAAGGAAGACTGAATGAAGTTTGAAAGTTAGAAAATTAGATTTATGGATGCAGTGAGGGAGGACATGCAGATAGTTGGAGTCAGAGTAGAAGGGAAAAAAAGGGACAAGCCGAAAGGAAAAGAAGATATATATATATACACTATATTACCAAAAGTATTCGCTCACCTGCCTTGACTCATACTATGAACTGAAGTGCCATCCCATTCCTAACCCAGAGTTCAATATGATGTCGGTCCACCTTTTGCAGCTATTACAGCTTCAACTCTTCTGGGAAGACTGTCCACAAGGTTGAGGAGAGTGTTTATAGGAATTTTTGACTATTCTTCCAAAAGCGCATTGATGAGGTCACACACTGATGTTGGTCGAGAAGGCCTTGCTCTCAGTCTCCGCTCTAATTCATCCCAAAGGTGTTCTATCGGGTTCAGGTCAGGACTCTGTGCATGCCAGTCAAGTTCATCCACACCAGACTCTGTCATCCATGTCTTTATGGACCTTGCTTTGTGCACTGGTGCACAGTCATGTTGGAAGAGGAAGGGGCCCGCTACAAACTGTTCCCACAAGGTTGGGAGCATGGAATTGTCCAAAATGTTTTGGTTTCCTGAAGCATTCAAAGTTCCTTTCACTGGAACTAAGGTGCCAAGCCCAGCTCCTGAAAAAAAGAAAATGGACTCATGGATTCAAACCAGTCTCCTGACAGGACGTCACCATCTCAGACCTCTGAGGTGAATCTGTCACTGAAGAGCTCATACAGTGACTCAGTCATTCATGGTCCATCAGCTGATTTACCTTCAGATTTCTCACAACATTTTAATAAGCTTTCCTCACCTTCCACTGACATGGAATGTACACAAATCAAAAGATCAGATGACATGTTATTCTCGGCATCTGTTGACAAAACTACTTTAACCTCCCATGTAAGCTCTACACTCACGGACACCTTGGTCCTTGATGATTGTAACGGTCCTCAACAAAGTGCTGGCCTCCATTTTCAGGATAAACCTCAAGGTGAAGTGAACCCAACTGCTCCCGATCTCAGGAGGGTCAGTGAAAATATTGAGAACAAACATCAGGAGGAGCTTGTCCAAAAAACAGAGTCCACTCACTTCCAACACTGTTGTGTCCTTAAGTCTGGAAACCACAACGCCAACATTTGTAGATGTGTCCAAGGACCTCACCAATGTAAACTATGACATTGATTTTCCCAAAGTATGTGATGGAGGACAAGATGCATCCGAAAACATGACGGTGGGCTGTACCTTAGAAATGCTGCAGGCAAGCAACGACAAGGGAATCAGTTTAGGTTTTAAACCAACACCCAAAGCACAAGGACAATCACTCCCACCTTAAACTCAGAAAACCTTCATCGAAGGTCAACTGCTGCCTTTATCTTCTTCGTCCTCATCAACCCTGCCCAATAATCAATCTGTTATTATTTCAAAATCCAATCAAACTGGAGATTTGAATGAAGCACCAGTGCCTTCACCTGACTCTCCTACTGAGGTAAGAACAAAACTCACGATGTGCAACACACTGTGTTCTACTAAAGACACTAACCCAAACACAGTCATTAGCTCAAATGGCTCAAATCAACTATCTCCTACAATGTCCGGCTCATCCAGACTGATCATGAAGGCATCATAAAGATGAAGCTTATCCACCAAAGCTGCCTTGTCTGCAGACTACAATCCGTTCTCTGTCTGACATAAAATCAAGTCTTTTTTGGCTCACTTTGACAAACCTGTGGCTAAAAGCAGTGACATTCAGTCTTTTGCTTTGACCTACAGAGCTTCGCTGAACCAGAGGATCGCTGGTTACATGGGTTTAGTCAATTCTTCCGGTTCTAGGACCCGACAAAAGTTTCAGCTCTCATGTGGAAAACAGAAACTCTGTAGCAACCTCTACGTCTCTTCTCGCTAAACCTTCATTCAGCATTACAGACCTGGGCCTTGACTATTCACAGAAGGGCTGTAGCACAGCTGCTCCATTGATGAGCAGTCCAGTAGTGACGGTCCCACAGACCCCTCCAGTGTTACGGAGGAAACATGGTCAGCTCTCGCGCAGCAGGTCACAGCAGCTCAGGGCCCTCAGTATGCCTGAATTGGAGAAACTATGCACAGAGGACTTTCCAATTGGGAATGATGCAGCTGTGAATGAAACAAACACTGACAGTCTGACAAAAGTAGCAGAGACAGGAAGCACTCCATCCTCTGAGACTGTGACACAGGTGGATTTAAACAGACGGAGCCAAGGCCAACCTGGATCCATGGGGAAGGAGCCTCAAACCCCCCCAGATACCAAGGCTGGATGGTCAATCAGGTGAGTTGATGATATAAAAAAAGGATTTAAATTTATCCAACATATCTGGTTGTTATGCCGTGATTTCTGCGACTGCGTCCTCACAGTGGTGCACAGAACATTCTAGACCACATGCTGGCACAATTTATACATGTACAAAAACAAGACAGGACAATAATGTCATGGTTTCCCTGCAGGAACTAGTACATTTCCTAAATGGCCCATGTTGTTCTGTCTGTGAAAAAAAAAACGTTTCTTAATCATTGTATTGTTTTTGTATTTTTTATTTATTTTTTTACTCTAATTTAGGGGTGCACCAACACCAGTACTAGTATCCTTGTGGGTATGAATACTGGGTAGTTTGTTAACATAGGTCAACAATATCAGTAGCAGTAGCATTAGCATTAGGGGCAAGACTTGCAAGATCTGTTCTCCTAGGAAAAGAGCAATTTAATGAAATTTAATTAAAGGCTAAATACCCTCTTCCCAGTTTATCAACACCAGGGATGTCTGAGGGGTTGAAACCTCACCAAGTCACATTTTGTGTAAGTTGTTAGAGGAGATTGTTATTTGATTATTGCAAACTAGAAGTTGCAGTGCACATATATGTTTACTGGAACACAGGAGGCAGTGTCTTCAATGGAAATGTGCTTGTGGTTTAAAAATTCTGCTCACATTCTGTACAGCTGACTATGTTTACTATGCCAAAAATCAGTTTATTATATAAAGTTTATTTATCTTTATTTCTTACACAGTTTTAATTTATTTTATCCTACATAGGTTTATTGATATTTTATCTAATGTTACAACAATGTAATTTTAAGACTTATTATTTAATTTAGAAAGATTTGTTTTCCTTTCGGCTCGAAATAATCCTCTGTTAATGAAAAGACACTTAGCATTTTTCTATCACCCTATTACTAACAGGCCCCTGCCACCCTTATAGAAGTGCCTTCTAATTTATTGCATATTTTAAACCCAACCTAAAACAGTTCTGGTGACAATACTTGGTATTGGCAAGTACACATATGAAAATACTGGTACACACATTGTTTGTAGAATTGATTAATTCTGCAAGACTGAAGCTGTGTCATCCAGTATCTACTGTATGTTTCCAATATATTGTATGTAAACAACATATAATGTCTTTAATGGTGACTTCTTTGTCCACAGTTTAAAAGAGTTGGTGACGTCTCCTGAGACCCAACATGAACTGCAGAATCTCCTGCTTTCCCTCACAATGAGGTCATATGTCATGACCTTGATTCAAAAGGTCAAAGTCTAGCCTATCTGAGGTAACACCATGACTGACTCTGTGGTTTTACCCTTACTGACTGTTTACTCTGTTGTTACATCCATTATGTGTTTGAACTTCCTTCAGCTGATAAGTGACACTCACCTTGTGGTCCTGAGTAAAGATGAAGGCTCAGGTCTGGACTTCAGTGTCTCAGGAGGAGTTGACCTTGAGCAGAAGGCTGTGACTGTAAGTCTACTGTGTGGTAATTTTCAGAAATCTAACCCACAGGCTGCACAAGACTGTTTGTGTTTTTATTGATCTCTTACTATAACAGAAACCCTTTTGTCCAGGTCCATCAAGTCTTCTCCAAAGGTGCAGCAGGTCTGGAGGGAACAATCATTGTCGTGTCTATAAACAGTACAAGTCTGGAGGGTAAAACCCATTTCATTCCATTTCAGTAAAATCCACACTCTTG